CCCTTGCCCACTGCAAAATTTGGTACGCTTTCTGATCTGGCACACTTCTCTAGCTCTCTAGGATACAATAATGCCAGAGATCCATTTAAGTGGCCTGGTCATGAATGGTATTGTATGCTGCACCTGCTGAAGGGATGCAGAAGCTGTCTCATGCCCCTTGAGTGACAAGGCAGTCTATGAGGTACAATGTCTCCTCAGATACCATGATCCCAGTAGAGTGGGAGCCAGTTTCTCCTTAGCTCTCAGTGTGCTTATTTTCAAACATTCAAGTTAAGGATATGCCTAGGTGATAAGAGACATAGGGGCTAATTAATGATTTTTTACCATGTTTGGAAATCTAGTGTAACGGAGACAGTTAATGGTTGCAGAGCCCAAGAAGGAGGAAGTGCTGAGAGTTCAAGCCGAACCCAGGGAAGACTAATGTAATGGTGATTTGCAGAGGGATTTCACTCAACTTGCCAGCACCCTAACCTTCCCACTGATTGGGGCACCAGACCACACACAAAGCCTCTTGGACATACAGATTATTAGAGCATCAAGGCAAGTTTTTGTCTGTCTGGCTAGTCTGGAAACTGGCCACAGTAAAAAATGAATATCCTCATTTATACACCAATTCGTGTTTCTTCATGAGAATAGGGCTATGCAAACTAAATTAAATTCAGCCTAATGCAGACAGCTAGAGCAAGTCTTACATATCACCTCAACTTCCAAAATAAGGCCTAAATAGGATGGAAATTTAATTTAAACCAGAGTTAGGTGTCTAAATTCCACAGAGAATCTGGGCTCTCCCTTTCCTTTTAGATAAGGATAAAAGCACCACAGGCTATGTATTGATTACCTCCCCCTTCAGCTGCCACCCATTCACTCCACCATTTGATGTTTAATGTAACACTCAGAAATGGAACAAAAAGGATGGAGCAAACAGTAATACAGCATATTGACAAAGGCAGATGCTCCACAAGTTCCATTATCTCCCCCATTTCTTCCAGACTGAATTCAAGATCTTGGGCCTAGAATATAAGGCCCTTGGCAATCAGGATCTTGGTGACAGCTGCAGTCCACATGATGATGCAGCTGATGAGTCAGCGGGAAATTATTTTCAAGAGCAGGAGGTGAAGTGCTTTCAGCTGTGGGATATCAGGCTGCTTGCTAGAGGAAACCAGTTTAGTCCTTTTTTTTTTTTTTTTTTTTTTAAATAAAGGCTTCCAGCCCTTCTCCTTCCACCCCAAATAGATATCTTCTTTAAAAGAGCAATGTGCTCAGTACTTGCATATGAAATTATTGGCCCCTTAGAAGTAATTCTGACAAAGCTGTTGCTGGTGAGTAACTTCACAGTGTAAGTAAGTACATCTAAGTAAAATGGAAACAGGAAAGTAGGTTAGCATAAGAAATATGGAATTCTGTAAGCTGAACTAAGACATGCTAATGGTGTGAGACTTGTAATAGAATAGGACAGGGTAATGTACAACCCTTTTTCAGTCCTTTCTAGAGCAGTGTTACTCTTTGGCTTCAGTCACAAGTGATATCAATTTGTGATATCTAACTCATCTGCTCCACAGAACCAAAAGCAAACTTAACACTTGTTAGGAGGCTGTTGAGACTGCAACACCAATGGGTGTTCCAGGTCAGGAGAGCAAATGCCACCAGGTTGCTATTATGATTACTACAGTTCAGCTTTACTGCTATTTTAATGCACCTCTTGTATTCTTTCTTCTTTTCTTATCGACAGTATGTCTTAAACATGATATTTACCCATCTTCTTTGAAGAGAGGTAGTAGCAACGACATTGCTAGAACTCAAACAATGGCATCTTCCTGCACAGACCCTGCCATGCCTACCCCAAATTCCCACTCGCTTTGCTTCCGGCTAGGAGCTGCACTTGTGAAAAGAACGAGTTAGAAAGCATGCATCAAGCTGAAGGAAAGAAAACCTGCTAGTGATTTCCATGTGGGCTGAAGCTCTGCAGTGCAGTCCATCTGTGCAAAATGTTGATCCCTGTAATGCTGACTAGTGCAGAGAGACCTGTGGGTCTGTTGTACAGAGTAAGTGATAGTCAGGCAAGTGAGAGCTGCCTTGGGCCCTTCTAATTTGTACACCCAGGGTTTAATGTAACCTACAAAGGAGTAAGTGTTTAGCCTGATCTTTTGAAGCTCAGCTTTCATATTTTTCTGGTCTTCTGGACTCCTCCCATGCATAGGAGCTAGGAGCACACATTACAAGTTCCTCCAACCTCTAAGAGGAAAACTACTGACGTTGCATCTTTGCAATGCTTTCTCCTTAGGCACATCACAGCGACTCTTTCAAATGCCAAGCGTGAGGGGCCGGGCTGTCCTTGAGGAGCTCTGGAGGAAGATTCGGGGACAGCAGAAGCAGAGTTGCTGGGGCTGACATTGATGCCCAGGGACTCTCTAGCAAAGCAGGGGTAAGGACTCAGATTTACCTGGTCCTGGTCTAGTCCCAGCCTTGACCAAAATCTCAGACTGGTAATCTGGTTTTTGTTTTGCATTTGTCCCCTTCCTTTGATCCTTGTGTCTTAGTGTTGTACAAAATACAATTATATAAAGAGGAAAGTAAGTGTTTACATTTGAGACGTGACTTGGAGATACTGTTGGATAAGCCACTAGTTTAAACAGGAAGGGGTTCAATTTGCATGTGCTTGATAGTTTGTGTGGCAAGGGGTTATTCTGTGTACATGTTCATTCCCAATAGGAATGAACTGCTAGCTTTAAAAATTCAGGGGAACATAACTACAAGTTTTAGTTAGGTGTTTGCTAGTGACCAAACTAATGCAGCATAGGTTATTTTACTAGTTCTTTATGTCTCTCTATCTTGGTTGCTGCAATAAAGTGACTCAGCAGTACACAGCATGGTGGCATAAGACTGAGTGCCCTTGTCATGCTAGGAGATCAGTCCTTTAATGTGTGTCCATATTTCCTCATTTCTTCATCTTGATATATATGACTTGCACCTTACTGTGCAGATGAATGATGCTCTTCCTTGTATGCATCTCTGTGGGAGTTCTTCTGGCAACAAACCTGGCCGAGTCAGTATTGTATATAGATCAGCAAACTAATCTTTCAGTCTATTAGTTGGGGGGGGAAGACAGCCCAATCCAACTCTGTCATTCTCAAGGTAAAATGCTGCTAAGAACAGTCAGTGGCATTTCACCTCTCTGATTCGTTCTGAATGTGAAAGCTACTGATATTCATAACCTTTCCCTCTTAGAACTGAGATTATCTTTAAAATGCACTTGATTTGCATGTGCTCAATCCACAGAGCTGAGTACCCCTTGCAAGTAGAACTTGAAAGAGTTTAACGTTCATGTATGGAGACTTGATCTGGGGCCAGGAACTTACCCTGCAAAAATTGAAAATCTGGGATCGATGTATTCAGTGTCAAAAAGAATAGGTGAGCCAAGTGACCAGGATCGTTTTGTGGCTGCGGCTATGATTACAGCTATGGCCTTTGCCTGTGACTCCTGGGAGTCCTGCTGGGGGTGGGGGCTGAGACATGGATCCATCCTGAGACATGGATTAGGAAGAAATGCAAGAGTCAAGAGGCTGGAGAGCAAGCAAGCAGGTAGCGGTATTGTGCTGTAGCCTAATGAGGAGGTGGGAGGGAGGGCTGGCTTCTGATCACTATAGCCAAGCTCTCTCTTTTTTTAATCAATGCCTGTCTAATACAAGGCTGTCAGAGTTACAGCCTGTGGGCCAGATCCAGCCTACAGTACCATATCATCCAGCCCACAGGGCTTCTCAAGGGACGGGGCAAGTAGGGGTGGGACCTGCTTCTGAATTCCAGCATACAAAGCTCTGCAAGGGAAGTATACTGGCAGTGGAGGGCCCAGCATAGCTGCATTAATCGCCACGGCTCAGGAACCTACAGCAGGTAACACTACTACCACACACCATACTACCACAGGTGGATCCAGATCCAGCCCATGAGGAGCCCTGTGGTCTGGATCCAGCCCAGGGGGCGGGAGAATTTGACACCTGTGCTGGCCTAATGTAAAATGTCTCCACAGTCCAGGCAGCAAGCCTGAGTGTGATTGTCTGTCTCCATTGTTTGAGCTCTCACATGGGATTGGGGAGTTCTGGGCTCCAGGCCCTGCTACCAGTATTTTATCCATGTGCATTAAATAGTCACTGAACAGAATACACAAAAAACATTGGGATCAGGCCTCCCTCCCAGATACTGCCCACCTTGCTGTACCCCCGAACCCAGCTTCCGCTTGCCTGTTTTCCTTTTGCCCCTATGACTTGTTTTCCCTGCCAGCAAATGACCTAGCTTTAACAGGGAAGATGAAGGACATGTGCAGGCCTGCCTATCCCAGGCTGAGGAGGTTTAGGCACTGGGAGATGTGAGTTCAACTCTTCCTGAGTCTGAGGTGTGCCAAGAGTGCATATATCTTATCTTCTGGGCAAAAGCCTTAACCACAAAGCTATTGGACCAAATGTGAGTGGCACTACCAGAACAGGTCTCCCCCATCCCCTTCATTTACAGTGAAGTCAGTGCTGCTTTCTGTCCATCTGGTGCACTGGCAGACACCTGCTATGAATGAATGGGACTCCAGCATGGTGTTTCCCCTCTTAACATGTCAGATCAAGCTGGATTTCAATGTGACACAAGCGTATTAACCTGCCAGATGTCTATCCCCTGAGAGAATGGTAAAGACATGTGCATTTCTCTGGATGGAATACCGTCAGCCTCAGGAGGTGTATAATGCTGCCCATTGCCAAAATGGAAAAGCTGAGTGCCCTCCAGGGCACCGCAGGATTGGCCTCTAATGTCCATTAGGCTGCCCATAGCAAGAATGGGAGACCTAGGCATCTTAGAGGTGGCATAGGATCAGTCTTCTGAGACACGCATCAATTTGAGGTGGGCAGCAGCTGAGTCTTAGTTGCCATACAGGTTAAATTGGACCTGAGTCTGTACATCCCTTAAAGTAAAAAATGACTGTTCAGGCAGGGTAATTAACGGCAAGCATTAGTAGAGTTTTAAAATAAGATAAAGGTGTAATTCATCTCCATGTAGGAGTTTATGCAGACAATATGGTGCAGTCAGGGGAGGGGCACTTTTACACGTGCTCTGTGGTTGAGGGGGGTAGTGCTTTAATTAGAATAGCCCCAAGAACAACTGCTCTAATTGAAGTGCCACAGTGTCTCATGTATCAGCGTCTCTGTGCTTCAAAATGTCAGTGGGGCACTTGAACTAAAGCTCATTCGACAAGCTTTAGTTCAAGCATCCCTACTGCCATTTTGAAGCATGGGGACACTGATACATGAGACATGGGAGGCTGCTGGAGTGCAGTAATTACTGTGCTCCAGCAGACTCAGTTAATTGAGTCTGCTCCAACACGCGGCAATTACAGCGCATCAGAGCAACCTCCCAGCATACCTACAGGCACCTAATGATTTTGTTTTAATCACCATGACAATTCCCCTTTTTGTAATGCGTATATCATATGGTAAAGAGCTCAAGACGAGCACGGTTTTGACCCTGCAGTGAAGATGTGAATGTACAAAAGCTAAATTGGTCACTCTTTCTTTTCTATATGTCCAGTAGTAACAGGAAAAGATTTAAATTCCTATACGGAATCTCAAAACATTTGGATTCCCTTTCCTTATTATCTACTGTATAGCTTATGACTGGTACTCTTCTTGGTAGTTTCATTAAACTAGCAGTTGGAAGAAATGTTGCTATTAAATTTGATTAAAAAAAAATAAAGGTCAGACTAGATGTTATAAGTAGTCCCTTTTGGAGTTAAAATATATGCAACCAGAGAAATGATCCTTTTTTGTTTGGTATAAAAGCCTATGGCATGCAATCATGATTTATTATTGTTCTTGTTGTTATTGATGATGCTGAAAGGAAAGAGTACGGGGCTGCAACAGGATAATTTTCTGATATGTGCAGTATGTTGAGAATCCCAAGGGAAATTATGGTTCTACAGATGAGTTAAAGCAAGGCTTTGCAGATATATCTGGGCACTGTGAAAACTTCAGCAAAGAAAGTTTCTTAAATACAAGGGTGTTTCAGAAACTAATAGCAAAATGCCTGACAATTATGTCAAGAAGTGATTTGGTCCAGTAAATGATCATTGCACACAAAATAGTTTCATTTAGAAATTTCTGTTACTTTCTGAAATACCCTTCTACATACATACGAAACTGTCCCACATCATTTAAATACATTATTCCTCTATTTTTTCCATGTATGGTCTTATATTATCACATTCTATATAACAATATGTAAATACATTAGGGTTAGTCTAATTTCATTTACATTACTGTAAATACAAAATAAGCCACTGGCTTCAGTGAAGATGCTCTAGATTTAATATGCGGTAAGACCAGAATTTGACCGTTGATGAACCAAAGAGCCTGCATAAGAATAGCTGAGGCACATGCAAGAGAAAATGACCCTTTGAAGGGCCATATCTTCATGTAATGTGTGCGAGGACAGTGTCCTCACACAGTAATAACTTTAAGCCATCTTTATTCTCCTCTTCTCTCAGGGCTATTCCATTCTGCTAATCTCCTAAGAGGCAGGGGGCAGCTGCACATCTTTCAATCCATCCCTCTATTGATCCCAGCAGAAGAGGAGAACAGAGTGGTACGTTGTTCTGATAGGTCTTTTCTTTTGTGCACTGAAACTTATTTCGTAAAGCTATGAGAAATATAAGCTTCAATTGCTACTGCTAGTTGGAAATAATGGATCTGATTTTCAATGGGGCAACGCTCTTGCCTCTTGTTGGATGTATGCAGTTTTTTGAGTGCCAGCACTTGCATGTCCAAGGAGTAGAATCTATCACATGCATAGATGTGTTTGAGATGGTTTTTGTGTATATACATTCTATTGCCAAAATGTATAAGAAGTATATGCGTGCACTAGTGCAGGACTTTTGGGAAAATTAGGCCCAACACAGGCCTCACTGTTATTTTGGACACATCAGGGTATCTTTCCCAGGCTCTGAGTGCCCTGACAATGACTCAAGACATAATTCAGTTGAAAACAGCAAATCAGCACCAAGTCCCCTTTCCCCTCCCCTGCCCTTACTGCCAGTCCAGTTTCCCTAATTCTTAACCTTAATTTTCTGTACCTGTTTAAACTTAAGATCTACAACTGCTCTTACTTAATACTGATGGCATTTCCAAGCAGGGTAGGAGCTGTATTTCCTTGCCAGTTGCACATGGTCTTCCAGTTGGCTACCCCTGCTACTACTTAAGGGGTCAGTCAAGCTCTCCAGAGCCCTATAGTACATACTCAGCTCTGTGCTCCAATAACCTTCCATGTTTTAGTTACCAATGAACAGGTAATAGGGCCAAGATGATCTGGGATGTTTGCTGAGATCTCAGCAAAATACATAATCACAGCTAACTAATATTTCTGTGGCTGACATAAAGTTCTCAGTTGGCAGTTTGCTAATAAAGGAAAGGACCTAGGGGAGCGTGGGATTAGCTGCCCCTCATAATTAACAGAGTCCACAGTCCATAGTTGTCTCAAATAAGGCTGACCTACTGAAACACAGAAGTATCTGTTATGCAATAGTGTTGTCACTTACCAAGGGATGAGGTCTAGCCCTCGGGCTCAAATCAGCTGAAGTCCCATTGGGGACATCTTCTTGTTCCCCTGAACAAGCTTCTTAACACACACAGAGTCATTATTTAACTCTCATATCCCCAGGGTGCTGGGGCTGCTCTCCTGAACTCTTCCCTAAAAAACCACAAGCCATTGCCCATCACCTGTTTGGAGTTATCATAAGAGAAAACTAGTGTGGGAGGGGAATCAGGCTATACCTCTTGCCTGATCCTCCCTTATAAATCAAAACCAAGTAGAGGAAGCTTGAGCTACTAATATGGCCCCAGTTTGATGCTTTGGTGATGACCCAGTAGCAGTGAATCAGAGTATGACGGCCTGAGTCATCCTTGTTACAAGAGTTCACGTGACAGCAGACTCTTTCCATTGTTGGAGGACTCAGTCTGGTGGGAACCACTTCTGGCATGAACAGTGAAACCCCCTTCACTAACACCATATTAATTTTAATTACAATCCAGCTGATTGACCAGGCCTGAGCAACATTGGGAATGTTTTCCATCTGTGCATCTACAAATGCCAGTGCATAGCACGGAGGGGCCCTGGGTTCATTTAGATTAAGGAACCAAGAGCAATATGTAAACATCACAGGCCTCATTCTGCTCTCATTCACAACAGTGTAACTTCCCTAACTTCCATGCAGTTACTCCTTGCTTACCACATGGTAAATTAGAGGGAATCAGGCCAAGAGTTTTGTTTTAACTAAATCCTTGTATAAATAAAAGAGATTTCAGGATTACAAATTCTTTAGTGAGACATTTAAATTGCAACACCGAAAGTCACCCAGAAGTTGAAAAAAGTGAAAGCTTCATGTGCAGTACTGTTTCCTTGAGATTCCCTTCCAAGTATGGAATTTGTCATTAGCTGGAAATGGGAATGATTTTTTCCTTACATGGTTTGATACTGCTTATTTGGCATAGGAACTTGGGCTATTTGGCCAAATGTGTTATACACATCTTTCATTTCTCTGTAGCTTGCAGCAGGCTATAGGAAGAGCCAAACTATTAGTCTCTTCCACTTGTGTAATTATATCTCAGGAAGGACCAGTCTATGAAACATGGGTAATACAAGCTTCTGCAATTAATCTCTTCAGCCCTGCCACTTTGTGCTTGGAATTTTAGCTTTTGCAGAGTTTGCATTTTAAGGAAAGACTGGTAACGAAAGTGCATCTGATGGAGGAGTACCTGTGGTAATTTAAGTCCTCTCAGTCAATAAGCAACCAGTGTCTCAGCATGGTGCTAGATGGCACTGTACTACTGTTAACAAGAATTTTTGTGGGTGATTTCTTTTGTTGGACCAACTGTGTAGTTGGGCTAGACATAGGGAAGCTTTCAGGTATCCCAATGCCTTTCCTCAAGCCTCTGGAAGAACAGCAGACCACCAAAAGGGGAGATGCCCCTGTACAGGCAAGTGAAGGCCCAGCAGGGTATGAAAGGAGACTCCCTAGGTGACCAGCGAGCCAGTGAACAGGGGCTGCAAACAGGGTAAGCAGTTTGCAGGCAGTTGCTGGGGCAAGAGGAGGAAGGGGGAGAGAAGCCAGGCACCAGACACGCAGGGAAAGTAAGTGATACAGCTACCTGTGCCTTAGTTTGCTGATTGTTGGGTGGGCTGTGTGTATTTGAGGGGGGTGGGGGGTGTACTCTAAGAAGCTAGGAGTGATTGATGATTGCTGAGTGATTGCTTCCTGGGCCTGACAGAAGCACTAACAAGGGGGTAGAGTCAGTGTAGGCCCAGCAGGGTATAAAAGGAGACTCCCTAGGTGACTAGGGAGCCAGTAACCAGGGGCTGCAAACAGGGTAAGCTGTTTGAAGACAGTTCTTAGGCTAATTTATGGCCCCCTCCCCCCACTCCTGCTTTCTGAGGGGCAGCTTGACATGAGGAAGCAGGAATAAAAGGGCAATGAACAATAAACTGGCCAGCTTGCAAGTGAGTTTGCTAGGGAAGGTCTGCTTGGAAGAAGAGCAATAAGAGAGAGAAAGCAAATTAAAGGACCCAGGGAAATGGCTGGAGGATGTCACAATGCCATGGTCACTGCCACTGCTTGCATCTGTGAGGCTTCTGTCTAGGCAGGACCGCTCAGCATGACAAGTCCACCCAGGTCAAGGTTTGGCGCTGTGGGGACCACAGCTTGCAGATTCCTTCCAGTGATGGCCAGGTTGGGGAGTGCCTGTGGTGTGAGCAGTGCCTCCTGGTGGTGTCTCTCAGGGAACAGGCAAGAGAACCACAGGAGGAGGTGGCAAAGCTCTGAAGCATCCTCCACCATGGGGAGTTCATCAGTTCGATGCTGGAAGAGACCTCTGGGACTGTGGAGGAAGAAATGCCATACGTAGCGCTATAGAAGAGAGAGGACATGGACACCCAAGAGAGTGGAAGCTGGAGGCTTGTGACTTTTGGCAGTAAGCAGAGATCTTCACCTCCATCTTCAGTCATTCATCTGGAGAACAGATGTGCAGCCCTAGCAACAGAGAGGGAGGAGCATGTTCCCTTGGTGGAGGAGGACAGGTTAGGCCTTGCCAAGGTGGGAAGGAACGAGATGACCACCACCAAGAAGAAGTGACGGGTGGTGGTGGTTAGAGACTCCTTTCTGCGGGGGATGGAGGGAGCCATTTGTCAACCTGACCTGTTGTCTTGGGAGGTCTGCTGCTTGCCCAGAGCCCAGATCCAAGATGTCACAAAGGGACTAATGAGGCTTATCTGGCCCTCTGACTACTAAGCCATGCTGCTCATCCATGTGGGCACCAGTGATACTGCCAGGGGAGACCCTGGGTGTATCAAAAGTGACTACGGGGCTCTGGGTGCAAGGGTGAGGGGGTGTGGGACTCAGTTTGTGTTCGCATTGAGCCTTCCGGTCAAGGGAAAGGGTCAGGGCAGGAGCAGGTGCATCCTGCAGATCAACATCTGGCTGTGCAGGTGGTGTCACCAGCAGGGCTTTGGCTTCTTTGACCATGGGATGTTTTTTCAAGAAGAAGGATTGCTGGGAAGAGATGAGATCCACCTGATGAAGAGAGGGAAGAGCATCTTCACAGGCAGGCTCGCTAACCTAGTGAGGAGGGCAATCAACTGGTTACCTCAGGTGCCTGTACATAAATGCACATAGCCTGGGAAACAAGCAGGTAGAATTGGAAGGACTTGCACAGTCACAGAGCTATGACATGATTGGAATAACAGAGACTTGGTGGGAGCTTGCATGGCTGGAGCACTGTCATGGATGGGTACAAACTGGCCAGGAAGGATAGGCAGGGGAGAAGAGGAGGAAGAGTTGAACTTTATGTAAAAGAGCCATATGATTGCTCAGAGCTCCAGTATGAAGCTGGAGATAGGCTTGCTGAGAGTCTCTGGATGAGGGTGAGAGGGGAAAGCAATGGTGATGTCATGGTGAATGAGGCTTTCTTCAAACAGCTAGTGGAAGTTTCTCAGTCACAGGTCCTGGTTCTCATGGGGGACTTCAGTCACCCTGATACCTGCTGGGAAGGTAATACAGCAGTGCACAGGCAATCCAGGGAGTTTTTGGAGAGTACTGGGGACAACTTCCTGGTGCAAGTGCTGGAGCAGCCAACTCGAGGCCATGCTCTTCTTGACCTGCTGTTCACAAACAGGAAAGATTGGTGAGGAATGTGCTAGTAGATGGCAACTTGGGCAGCAGTGACCACAAGACGATTAAGTTCAGGATCCTGAGGAAAGGAAGGATAGAGAGCAGAAGAGTAAGGACCCCGGACTTCAGAAAAGCTGACTTCAAGTGACTTAGGGAACTCATGGGGAGGATCCCCTGGGAAGCCAGACTGAGGGGGAGAGGAGTCCAGGAGAGCTGGCTGTACTTTAAAGAAGCCTTACTGAGAATGCAGGAGCAAACCATCCCAATGCGCAGGAAGACTAGCAAGTGTGGCAGCTTCCTTAGAAGGAAACTCTTCAGTAAAATAAATCACAAAAAGAAAGCTTATAAGAAGTGGAAACTTGGACAAATAACTAGGGAAGAATATAAGATCATTGCTCAAGCATGCAGGGATGAATTCGGGAAGGCC